GGGTGTCTGTCCGTGTATGTGTGTGTGCGTGCGCGCAACACCAACCTCTGGGTGAAAGCACAAAGGAGAACGCCGCACGCCTGTCTACAACGCACAAGCGCACAGGCCTGCCAGAGACACAGGGAAAACCACGTCTGCCAGCAACACCCGCAGACAACGGGCCTCCCTCTACTACACAACATTCTGAATGTATCCTTCCCCGAACCCCGCTAAAAAACACCCCCTCCCGCATTAGACGCCGGACGACCCATACTCCTCCCGCATACGACGTTGGCCGCCCCGTCTCTGAGCCTTCTCCCCTTCGGACCGGACCCAAATTTCGTAAAAAACAAATGACCCAAAACAGGACGACGCCCACTTCCCCACCCCACTATCCCCCATTTCTACTTTTGTCTACCCTCCCCACGACCACTAACTTCAGCACACCGCAAGTCCCTCCGACGACACCAAACTGCAGATGGTTGCGCACTATACACACCCTTACGCACTATGATTTGAGGGCATGGTCTATCCTAGCCATCGTGGTGAGAGCTCAATCACGGAGGCTTCTGCATTTGATTCGCCCTGACATCAACCGCATCATTCATCTCGTTCCTGCCCTATCTATATGCCTGGAAGACTGCTCCAACCCCTAATCCCTCCTTCCCGTACTCTTATGCTGCTCTCCACGCCCTTGCCTGTTTTTTTGCCTAATTCTTCTCGGCAAGGTGTAAGTGTGTTGTAGGCCTGCTCAACCAAACAAACGTTGGGCAACCTTGCACCCAAAAGGAAATAAAGGCAAACGAAAATAGACGGCTTGCTGATTGTTCTCCTGTTCCTTTTGCTCTCCTTGCTTTTCACGAAGTGCTATTCATCAGTAGCTGTTGAACTACCTCCGTTGATGACTGATTGATTGGTGCAATGAGAGCTGCATAGTGATCGATTGGTCGGTGGAAGAATTTAGAGTATAGATATAGAGAGGAGAGTGGGGAAAGGGAGCAGGGATGCACAGATTACCGGAGGGTGATGGTTCGGGGAGAGGGCCTGGGAGGCGGGAGAGGAGAAAAAGAACGGGGCGGGCTGACTGACCTTGACATCATCAATGACAATACGGTCATTTCCATGATCCAACGGACAGAGATTGCCACGTAGACAGAAACCCCTCTCCTCGAAATCGGGGCAACGTGGCCTGCCCATGCTAGTTCCGATGTCTCTCACCACCGTTCCTCTTCCTCTCGCTACTGCTCCAGCTCCGCGGATTGCGAACGGACCTGGGTTCGAAACTGGTCGAAGCGTCGAGGCAGCTGATGGTGGGAGGGGGGACGCTTGACCATGATCAAGCACCATCTTTAACGCCCCTGCTCCTCCCCCACCTCCACCTGGGTTTCCTCCCATCCCCCCAGGAGAGAAGCCCAGTGGTCCAACCCACTTCCCGTCCTGCTGCTGCTGCTGTCGTGTCGCGGGTGGCAAAGGAGGTTGTAAAGCTCGCCTTCCGAACCCCTTTCCTCCACAGAATTGGCCCGTCATGCGTACTACTGATGCACGGATAGGTGCACCGAGTTCTGAGGTTCGATCAGCGAAATGCTGATTGGGCAGAAATCGATCGCTAGGATCAGCAGGCGAGGGTCCTCCTCCTTCCACATCACCGCTGCCTATTCCATGCCATCCATCCGCCCTGATACAGCTCCCCCTTCCTCCTCTCCTCGTCATGCCGTCGCTGCTGCTTACTTTCATCGACCCACCACTGCACCAGACAGGGGGATGCTCTAGCCGAGAAATGGGACCTTGTCCTCCACCCATTGCGAATACACTATCATGCGTTCCAATGCTGCCGGCAGCGCAAGTCCCACCCCGAAACAGCATTCCAGAGCCCAAAGGAGAGGCCCATGCGCTCGCTCCTCCACCCGCCCCTCCCCGTTTGCCCATGAAAACCATATCAGTCCCATAAAATCCTCCTCCTCCCTCTTCTCCCCGCCCCGGGAATTCTCCCCCTCCGTGCATCAGAAGCAGAGAGCCACGGTCCCCACTGTGCACCCCTACACCCCCTTCTGCCCCTTCTCCTCCGCTTCCTCCTGCCATCCCTCCTCTTTCCATTCTCACCGCAGCAGCTCCCACATACTTCGGCCCCGGGGGTTCCCCCGCCGGCAATCTTTCGCCAAAAGTTGGAAGCTGGGGCGCATGACCTTCATGTGGCCCCCCTCCTGAGATCCCGGCCAATCGGCTATGATCAACCCCCCCCCCGGCTCCAGTTGCAATATGATAGGCACTACTCTCACAACCTACCTCTCTCAAACTTACTCTTCCTCCTGCGTGCTCTCCTCTCCCCCCCCTCCTCGGATAAGTACCTCGGTCTTCTGGAATCAACCTGCAGCCTGCTCCTCCTGACCCCGCTACTGGATTTTCCTGAAAGACACCGCTATCTCTAATTGCTTCTCCTCCTCCTCCTCCGCTGCCAGGTCCTCTTCTCCTGTGCTTGTGGTTTCGATCCTCATCCTCCTCTCTCTCTTCCTCCTGGTCGTACTGTTCATCAACCTCACTATTCTCATCATCGTCGGCCCTCACACTCGCAAGAGAACTAACCAATTTGCACTGACGGGCCGCTGCCAGAAGATCTCCGCTTCTTACCTCAGAAACATGCCGCCCCCCTACTTCCCCTCCTCTTGCTGCTGCTGCTCCATCGCCACTGCCGCGACTGTTGGCTTCTGGTATGACCGTTACATTATCCCGAAGAGGGGCGGGAGCAACCGAAGACCCGACCCCTCTGTTCGCTCCTTCCCTTCGCTCCGACCCATCGTTTAAGAAACCAGTGCTCAGCGGGATCGCTCCATCTTCAAACGCCCTGAAGAGTCCACATACGAAAGATCTCGTCTCTGCCAATTCCACATCCACAAATGAGACATGAGATACAACTCGCGCGAGAGAGAGAGAGAGCAAGCAAGCGCAGACGACTGAGTGTCATCAGTCCTCTCCGACTTCCCGCCATCAACAGGGCCACTCTTGCCCTCCTTCCCCAAAACTCGCTCCAACAAATATTTTCACACAAAAACAGCTACCAGCGACCCTCTCTCTCTCTCTCTCTCTCTCTCTCTCTCTCTCTCTCTCTCTCTCTCTCTCTCTCTCTCTCTCTCTGTGTGTGTGTGTGTGTATGTGTGTGTGGGTGTGTGTGTGTGCATTGACTGCAAAACTCGTGATCTCAGAAAAAAGCAAATGGAAGGGAGCGGGGTGGGGAAGGGAGAAGTCGAGGAATCAACGCACCTTTCCCAAGAAAATCGACGAGCTGATCGATGCACAGCTTCTGGAGCTCTTTGCGAGGCTTATGATTCCTTAAAAGCGCTACCACGTAATTGGAAAGTAGAGTAGGGTCCGCCTCCGATCTGCGCGTTACATTTTCGATAAATAAAGGCCAAAGAGAAGTAGCCCCCACATACAGGGTTACAAAAAATAACGCACCATCAACGCGGACTGTCGATTACAGATCCCATATTCCAAAGATGTGAAAGAAGAGAAAAGATGCGATTTAAAAGAAGAAGAAGAGCAGTGAGTCTTAGAGAATGACCAAGAACACGAACGGGTCCAAAGGAGGGCCAAGAAGAACTCCAGAAGATGACCAAGAAGAACAACAACAACAACAAAGAGAAGTCTAGAGCAGAATCGAGAAGAAGAAGGGTAAGAGCGATCGTTCGCATGGCACATTAAGCAGCTGGAATGGCGAAAGTTTCACTCGCCGAGAGATCTCTGCAGAAGCGGAAAAAACGGCTTAGTCCCTTCTTCGACAGCGGGTCTCACAATGATAATTTGAATGACGTGTCGATCAAAGGTACACACATATGCCTGTTGATAAACAGATCAGGAGTTCAAATTCCGCCGATATAATAAGGTTGGAGGGCACCCATTTTTGTTACTTTAAACAAAATAAAAAAAAATAACAGGCGTTTTTTCACTGCGTTCAGGGGTACGAAATTGCCAGCATATTACAATTTTGGGGCAAAAAAATGAGCCGAAGACGAGAGACCGCGGGGGGGTTGGAGCAAACCATGACCGAGGGCCCAAAAGATGGGTTTGTGACGATTTTTAAAAAGGGGTCTCTGACGAGTGTCTAGAACATTCAAAATGCTGACTATGAGTCAGTGACAGTCCAACGAAACAGTCTGGCACAGACATGCTTCTTTTGTGGAGTTGTGTATATCGGACATGACAACACACAACGCACACGCACACGCACAAACACACGCACGCACACGCACAAACAAGCACAAAAGGCATATAAACAGCTTCGGCTGAGAACACAAACACGGCACAGCCGAAGATAAGTTCTGCTCTGTGTTTATCTCTGTCTGCGCTCCGTGTTAGGCGTTGATTAACTCAGCGAGGAAGACGAAAATGAAGAAAAGGAAAAGGCAGCAACACTCACATAGGTTGTAACTGTTTGACCAAGTATTTCTTTAGTGGTGGCAGATCCGCATCGCCAATCTTCATGTCTCGCTATCTGCCTTCACACGTGACACAGAACGCGGGAACAGGACCTAGACGTAGCTGACAGGAATATGTGAGAAAGAAGAAAGTTTAATCAGCGCAGCAGTCAAGCTCGCATACAACTTCGAGATTATCCTCGTCCTTCTCGACCTCGGTTCTCCAGCTTGAGTCGTATTAGACCTGCATGTAGTTGTTCACCTCTTCCCTTTCCAGCCTTGCCGAAAACCCGACTTCCGCCTCGAGTAATAGAAACCACATGCTCTCCTCTTGCTCCCTCACTTTGCTCTTTTTAGCCATTACCCTCTCCCTCTTCTTCGCGATTCCCAATCTTGCCATCCCTGTCCCAACAACCAACCTTCTCTCTCTCTCTCTCTCTCTCTCTCTCTCTCTCTCTCTCTCTCTCTCTCTCTCTCTCTCTCTCTCTCTCTCTCTCTCTCTCTCTCTTTNTCTCTCTCTCTCTCTCTCTCTCTCTCTCTCTCTCTCTCTCTCTCTCTCTCTCTCTCTCTCTCTCTCTCTCTCTCTCTCTCTTTGTGTGTGTGTATGAATCACATTCCTCCCTCGTCACGGCTCAACCTTCTCTCCACTCAACTCCGGCATGCAGGCTCCTTCAACTTGCCTCCTTTATAAAAGAGAAGACGTCGAAACATTGCATTCTCTTCGTCATCCCTATCCTGCCTGGCATTCAACTTGCACAATAGAACCTTCTCCACCCTGCCAGAATAGTCAGCCGCTGCGCCCCATCTGTTTACCTGTAATGTGCCCTCCTCAGCACACAGGTGTCGTTTCGCGGTTCGTCCTCTGCCAAATGACGAAACAAACCGAACCACCGCGTAACAGGACGAGACTGGAATATTGTTAACGGGCATTCCCGTCTCTAGCACACACGTCCGTCAACCATCTCTGCGCTGAAAGCCATCAACTACCCAGCCCATGTGGCTGAATCGAACTAGATCAGGGTAAAATAAGGGCGTACTCAAACTGCGAATTTGGGAACGGCCGATTTGAGGTTTTGGGCATGGTTGCGGTCGCACTGCTGTACCTTTTCAGATGGGACAAGGCCCTGGCCGTCTCGAGCAATGGCGATTTGGTACTTCGCTGGTCACACGGCACCATCCACAAATAGTGCAAGAATTGTCACCAATTCTTGAAGAAACTGCGAAAAATTCCCTTGCAAATTCCCTTGCCCGAAACAGGGCATTTGCTGTAACCTTCGGGACATCTGAGAAGATTAGCATGGCCCCTGCTCAAGGATGACATTTGGTGTCACCTGCAAATTCCCTTGCCCGAAACCGTGAGGAAGGAGAGGGGAGGGGACCTTGCTCAGCCCGAGCCGCCCTTCAGGACGGTACCACGGAGATATCACCATAGAGTGCTCTCATTCAGGGCGGATATGGCGCAGCACTGGCCATAGGTGTGGCCCAAGCGGAGGAAGCCTTCCCTCAACACGTGACACAGTGTTGGGAGGTAACAAGATGAGTGGTCCGAAGCCAGCTAGGAGAAGAGTAGAGTGAGAGTTTGAGCCAAGGAGACATGGAGGCTACACCACGACACGAGGGAACGAGGAGATCTCCCCCTCCTGGTCTGCACGGGGAGAAAGATTACTCGGAGGATGAAGATAGGATTAGAGGCCTCCTAGCGATTTGTTTCGATGACGGGATATACCCGATAGAGATAGATCCGGGCGAAATGGTGATTGAAGGAAGAGAAGCCAGGTTTAAACTCAACACCTCACTCGACGATATCAAGGTAAAATGGCTAAAGGAGCGTATAGTGATGGTCATCTACAAAGACGCAACGAGATTCCTACTAAAGAACATCAAGGACGATTTGGTTCCCGCCTTTGAAGACGGATGGGCATCGGCAATGAAGACCTATTGGAGAATTCGAGACGCGGAAGAATTATGATCCAAGGGGGCCAGGAGTGGCCTCGTATGTAGCGAAGGCGAAGGAGGTGGCGGAATTTATGACAGCAAAGGCCCAAGTAGATGTAACATTAGGAGACGACTCCTATAGGATCCTATTTAAGCCTTGGTTCACACGTGCCGAGTTTAGGGAACTAAGGAAGCAAGAGGAGGGAAACACCTTATGGTGATGGTATTGCTGGTCCCACTATACGATATGCCTTTTGTCTACGTGCAGTTAGAAAAAATTGTAGGGAAGATAATAATGGTAACATCCAACAGACGCAGACCCGACGAGACCGATGCTAGTCAACGCCAGTTTCGATCTTGATCCAGAAGCTCGATCAAACATAAAGGATGTATTGTGGGTGAAAACTGCCAAAGGAAACGTACTGGAAATCAGGATGGCAACAACGGGAATGGTGAAATGCAGGAAATATAAGCAATTCTTTCACACAAAAGAAGATTGTCGAATAGGAGGAAGAAGTCGAACCGGACGAGCCGCAACAACATCGTCAAGACTAAACCAAGCTCGTCAACAGAATCAACCATCAACCTCTAACGGAGGTGGTCAAGGATCAGGGTATCAAGGCTCACTGGGCCCCAGGCAAGCCACTCCAACACCTTCAGGCAACACGAGCCATGGGAGACTGATGCGAAACAACCCAATTCCTCACCACGGGGAAGTAGAGGATACCAACAGGGCAGAGGAGGCTCCCAGCAGGATCCGACAGGCAATAGAGAAATCTAATAGGGCATGATGGGAGAGGGGATGCCATGTTTGCCTCCACCCGACAATCGTCACGGGAGAGGCGTAGGATACTATAAAAAGCCCCCAATGCAAGGCGGTGTCGAGCGCATCGGTCCCACCCGCGTCACAAAGGATTTTGCAAGACTTCCTCATAGAGCGTTTTGCCGCTCCGGCCGAGTGCGCCAGCCATACCTCTCACAACATGATAGGGTCACGCGAGGTATAACTTACATCCCCCTGTTGGAGTTGTCACCATCCCTTGGGCGGGCGTATCCCCGCCGAGCTACCGAACCACATGCGAAGGTTTTCCGTATGCAATCGTAGAGGTGGCCCAGCCGAGGACGTTTCTCGTTCGTTGTAGCATAGCGGGTACACGCGGTTAACGCTTGATTCTGACCCGTGCGCGAATCGTCACCCAAGGCACTGATCTCTCGAGCGTGACACTATGTCAGTCGACTAGGACAATCATTCTAGCCTCGCGATACATCTTAGGAAAATCACCTCAAACTCTCATACACAAATCGCGCCTAGTCCCTTTTCCTCATGCTTGACTCATAACATTTACTAAGCGGATCAGACAAGTATCGCACGTGAGGCTCTAAATAAATATCATGGCGACACAAGTCTTAGTTATATCGACTAGCCATGCATGAATGCGCAAGCAGTCGCAATGATGACATACTACTCAGTACCCATAATCGTGTGACCCTCATCGGTCACGAGGGTCACGTTCGACACTCAAGTGTCGGCTGACATCTGTCTTGAGGGGTTAATCTCTTCAGGCTAGATAGTCGTCCACCAAGACGGTTAAGTACCACACCCCCTTCTCCACCCTGCAAAAAGTGAGTGTTAGACAAGTTTTGGCATGTCGTGGCAGTCAGCGCTTATGGCCTTGGAGGCGAGCTCCATCCTCCAGGGTTGAAAAAACGTTAAGGAGTTTGACTTTGACGGCTGCCACAGACTTCAACGTCCAACTATAATAATTATAAAAAGCAAAAGGTAAAAGAGGATCTCCCTTTTCTCTCAATGGATGACTTTTTTAATCACTACACACCGCCTCAATGGGTCGTGCGGGGCACAAGAAACATGATATAAAAGTTAGGAGATAAGAGATAATCACTCTCACAATCACGGTCTGACTTCATTCAAATATACATGTATATATATGATCATCGACAAAACCAAGTTTGGATTTCAACAAACATAACATTCTTAATCGCATCAAAGATCCACATCAACAAAGCAAACACTACACGGGGCCAACTTCAACCATTGTTTGTACTCACACCCCTTTGCCTTATCCACACTCACCCCAACCTTTGTCAAACATTCCCAAAATAAAACACCCAGTCCTTTTTAAGAGACCATTTAATAACAATCCGGGTAAAACCCAAAATAAACATCTAAATCCACGAGGCTAAGGCCTTAGGTTGAGTACCGAGAATGAATTAGAGTTGAGTCGAAAACCGACATGTTATGAAATTGCCAACAGAAGATTGATCCTTTGTAGGATCAAGCCGAATGAATCAAGCCTTCAATCGAGTACGTAAACCTGCATCATGGTACCTACCAAAAAAGACCAAATGTTATTTAAGACAGATGAAGGGCAAGCTCCACCTCATATTTCTCATAGCAGAAAATAATATAATTCTCTAAATTTCATAATTTTTTTGTAGCGTTTCCTGTATGAAAATTTTATTTTCATAATTTCTATGAACTCAAAATGACTAACAATTTTTAAATTTGTAAAAATTTCAGCAACGCTTCCCATAGAAAAATGGGTTCCCAAGATTTATACAAAGTGAAAAATACAGAAAACAAAATACAACTACATTTGGGACTAACCTTTTGACACTTACCTAACAGTCAGAATCAGTGATAGTTTACACGATCCTTTATTGAAGATGGTATCGTAAGCTAGCGTTAGTCCCAACTCCTAGTAAGGTCATCCCCATCTTATCCCAAGCTTCCCTTCCCACCATCTATTATAGTCTGTTTATGGTTCCGACACTCGACAAACATCTAAGTAACAAGAGTTATCAAGAAGTGCCCCAATAAAATACCCCAATTAAACCACCAGCTCTCCCACAACCGAAACCCATCGGCCCGGTGAGTTAGGGCCAGGTTGTATGGAGGGGCGACGACCACCGTTCGTCATCGGCGGGTCCAATCCCACCATTTGAAAGCTGCAACTTTGCCGATTTTTTGTGCTCATAATAATTCATCAAAAGGTTTGCAAATTTGAGGGTCCGTATCGTCAAATAGAACTGCCTGGTAAACCGTAGGCAGAGAGGGAGAAGAGGACAACAAACGAGGGGCTGTGACAAACTGTTTCGTCGGAGTTTCACCGACTCATCAAGAGGCTGAACCCTCAACAGTCTGTAGAATCCCCTCACTGATTACACTGTAAGTGATAATCCACCTTAACCAAAATCAAAGTAGACTATCACTCACCCACACCAGATGAAAAACTCTACA